GATGGTATTGAAATTTGGATTGAATTCTGAAATAGATGAAATAATACATTCGAGAACTTTGGAATGATATTAACCATAATGTTCTTAATATTCGATAAGTTTGTTGTATCTAGCACTTCCGACTATCTTTCTGTTTGTTTAATAGATAAGTGTTATATATTGGTGTGTAATTTTCACTAAATGTTTTATCTCAAGTGTCTTGAATTATTCTCGACTATGTGCTGGGAGAGTTTCAATGTAGGGCAGCCCAACATACTGGATGAAAAACATGGATGTAGTAAAACTTAAGGCTTAAAATGAAAATAACATTCTAATGTACATTAGTCACCCGCTGAATGTAAGGAAAAGTTGCCGAATGTTCTGAATACAACACATATTGAATGCTGGGAATGGTGCGAACGACTTTAGTTGAATTTTTCATGAGTATTTTAATCATGAAAATCTGTCATAGGTGAAATAACAGAATTAATGGAACTGAACTTCCGCAAAAAATTTCTCGAGTAATAACCGCTTATAGATGGCGTTTAACATAAACGGAAATGTACATATTTTAAAGATATTGGGTAGCATATAAATATTTACAAGAAAATTTATAGAACACCACATGACGAACAAACCCATCAAAGATAAAAGTACAACAACAGTATTGGAAGAACATTAAACCTTCCCTAATTAGCTTTGTACAATACAGTCAAAAACCCATCTCATAGATAAAAACCCCCAAGCAAATTGGTGGCCCCTTGATAAACCATTTGATTATCAAATTTCAATCTGGACCAAAAATCCATCATAGTTAATACAGAGTCGAGATTTATTTACCATAACACGAGTAAACTGATATAGTGAACAAGGTCTTTATTGACCTACAAACTGATTTTTTCCAACTGTCTATAACATATATCCATGTTTACTTTTTGTTAATATTTCGACTAAAACCATCTATTAGGAAAAAATCCCGATTGTTCTGACTAGTGATCTTATCTTGGATCTCAACTCACTCATAGGCTTTCAACAATAAGTCGGTCTCTTGAGTAGCTAATACTCAACTGCATTATATATAATCCACCGTTCGACATTCTATTCACTTCATTTTAACAATCGAAAATTCATTATTAAAATAATAAAATCCTGTTTCATTTCATCAGCATATATTCATTGAACCGATATATTGATAAAACGTATATTATTTCAAAATTACGTACATTTGAAATCTTTCTGAGGAAATAAAAACAGAACTCCCATTCATGTTTGGGGCAAAGATAGAAATCTAATGCTTTCTTTATTTCAGTAAAATGGTTTTTAACTAATAACTATGACCGAAGTAAAAAGATAAAATTGTTAGGTGAATTTCTGCACGTGTTTTATTACTACTGCTAAAATTTTAAGACCATAGAATATTTAGTGTTATCTCTATTAATTACACTAATCGATATCATGTTAATGAGATGTAGAAAATATTGAAGATATTTCCTACCTTAGTGGCTATGATTACTTTTGTCGATAAATTCAGTAATTAGATTCATCCAAATATCTGTTACTTAAATAATCTATCCAGTTGTAATAATATTTTACTGTTCAATTGTTAAGTAGTTCAATCAAAATATAGTGTGAGTAGAAAACATAAAAATGTTCGATTCTTATTTCAATGGGTCCTAAAAATGGATAATCTGATCATATATTGAACAGATTAAATTAAACAAGTATCGAATAGTTTATAAATAAACAACTGTATTCGAGAACAATATGTAAAGTTAATCGGAAAATTAATTCTCAATAAAGAATCATTTAAGGAGTTTGACCATTATTTTGTTGTTTAAGCATACTTTCATGTAAATTCATCGACATGAGGCCCTACATTTCATTATACAGATAACTACAGATTGTTTCTAACCATTTGATATGACTAATATATGCATTGGTATTTTTACATATATATATGCTCTTTGAGAATTGTATATATGATACAATACCAGATGAGTCATAAGCTGGGTTGGATTTGACTTGGAGATGAGCCAAAACTCATGTTGGAATGCTGATACTAATGATAATAATATGCCAAATTAACAACTTATCTCATTATACTATGTTAGTATTCAATATGTGCTTTCTAAGATGTTTATATGTACACATGTGATGTTTAGTGTTTCGTTGTAAACATATATTTGTGTATTGACCCACATGTGACAATATCTTTGACTTATTTTCAGATTCAAGGTCATATTATTGACAATTAGAGTAAATATAAATATATTTATTAGTTTTTAGGTTAATATTTAAAAATAAAACAAAATTAGACATTTATCTCATGTGAACTGTTTATTTATTTGTGAATAATGTTCATTTTGAATATTTCCCCCTTTAAGAAATCCGGAGAGGATAACGAATTCAGATTTGTTGCTTAGGTAAACATATATAAAATAAGAGTTGGTTATATAGTGGTACTAACCTAATCTTATCTGGAGTAGAGAGTGAAGTGTGCACATAATTATCTGTTTCTGCCCCTCACTCATACATGCACAAATGACACTCTTTACTCTAACTTTTCTTTCAACAGTGAATTACGTCCTAGATTAAAAAAATATAACCCAATCTTCATTTCAGTCTGAACACTGACTGGCTCACTCAGCTTTCCGCAAATAATTTTTGTAATTCGAGAATGAAAAATAGCTTAACAGCCAGTTCATAAAAATTCATTTTTAGGATGAGTTATGTAGATTATAATTCTAAGTGAGAATCCATTCCTTGAACGATTATTCCTTACTAATCAGTTTTAATCTCTATGCCAATCAATGATTGAAAATATAATCGCTTCTGAACTATATATAAAATGAAGACGGACGGTGGCTAGCAATAGAATCCAGGACGTGCGTTTAGTCCTATTTGGGACTCGTCAGCCAGATGTACCTGCACAAGCAAATGGCTATAAGGACTCAGTAGCCGAATGGATAACGTGATGGCGTTTGAATAGAACGGTAATGGGTTCGAATCCCAGGGTGAACATCAATTCTGGGATGCACGTACATCCAGCTGATGATGGGACGTAACGCGTGTCCTGGATTTCACTGCTAGTTACTATCCATCTTTGTTTATAATGCTTGCGACTGTATACAGTCTGCACATATGCTAATAAGAGACTGATCAATTGTAGTCCTAAACATCAATGGGAAGATCCAAACAAAAAATATCAAGGGAATTTATACATAAATTGGTTTTAGACTTTCTTAAGAACATACTATAAATTTCTCCGTAGAGTGAACTTAATCATTATTGTGATATTTAAGTATTTTGCATTCAAGAAAAAACTTTTTATGCGGTCAGACATTTGTTTAGTTGCCAAATCGAAAGCATGTTTTCTTTCATAAGACTGAAAAAATAGCGGTATTTTAATCTCACTAGAATTTCTTCACAATAGTTTTCGTTGCATAAGAAGCAATTTTTAAATATACAAACGAGTAATCAGATAAATGTTAAGAGCTTTGTAACATATAGATGATTGATTGGTTAATTAAAGGACTTAATGATAATCTTAAACAAATATGAAGATTAAGAAAACTGTGGAAATCGATTGAGTCAAACAAGAAAATTACACAAAAGAAACGAATACATATGTCAATAAATGATTCTAAAGCCAAATTATTTAAACTTCTGTTTATCAATCGTTTGACGGCTAAAAGCCCATAAATAATCCGAAAGTCAGACTATCACCAAAATTTAGAACACTATAAATCCATTTCTATGTAATATATCAAACCCTGAGAAATATCCAATGAAGCAGTGACATTTATATCTTAGAAAATTTATCTATCAAAACTTACTTACTTACGCCTGTTACTCCTCGTGAAGGAGTATAGGCCGCTCACCAGCATTCTCCATCCAACCCTGTCCTGGGCAATCCTTTACAGCTCTTTCCAGTTCTTATTCATCCTTTTCATATCTGCTTCTATTTCCCGACGTAATGTGTTCTTTGGCCTTCCACTATTCCGCTTCCTTCACGATTCCAAGTTAGCGCTTGTCTCGTAATGCAGTTTGATGATTTCCTCAATGTATGTCCTATCCATTTCAATCGTCTTTTCCTAATTTCCTCTTCAGCTGGAAGCTGGTTGGTTCTCTCCCACAAAAGGCTGTTGCTGATGGTATCCGGCCAATGGATGTTGAGTACCATGCGTAGACAGCTATTAATAAATACCTGTACCTTCTTGATGGTGGTTGTTGTAGTTCTCCAAGTTACAGCTCCGTACAGTAGAACTGCCTTGACGTTCGTATTGAAGATTCTGACTTTGAAATTGGTTGAAAGTTGTTTTGAGTTCCATATGTTCTTCAGTTGAAGGAATGCCTCTCTAGCTTTGCCAATCCTCGCCTTGACGTCTGCATCTGAACCTCCTTGTTTATCGACGATGCTTCTCAGGTATGTGAAGGATTCTACATCTTCCAGAGTTTCGCCATCAAGAGTGATCGGATTGCTGTTCTCCGTGTTGTGTTTGAGGACACAAAAGATGATCACCACACCTATTTCATGTGTTATTCGTCTACTTCATCTGTTTATGGAAAGTGAATTATTGTAAAGACGAAAGCCAAACGTGACAGACATAGATATGTTGTGCCTTCGAAATAAAAACAGTGACTAAATATTGAAGGTAAAACTGCTAAGATACAGTCCGATTACTACATGACAGATCAACTATTAAGTCGTACCAATCTCTATATATTACACTCAAATATTCGAACTTTTGTAGTTCAAACGTGACTAAAGCAATATGTTATGTACGGAGTTGAATTAGCTATAGTTTGTCATATTTTATCTTGTACTTAACTAATCCAAACCAATATGCTAACGAAATAATTTATGTGTGGACTATGTCCAACACAACTTATGGTAACGACATATTGGTTTTTTTACTTAGCGCATTTCACCATACTAACTGATTGATGTCTTATTACAATTATGCATTACATTTCAATGCTTATTTAATTACGCGTATGAAAAATCAAAATACTCCAAGTATGTACAAGAAAAAAAACAGATCTAATATGTACAGAACTTTTGGTGTACACTTCACACAATATCAAACAAGTAACTGGAAATCAAGAGTACACTGCAGAGTAGGTTTAAACGAAAGTGATTTGAAACTACAGCATATATATATATATATATGCATATAAATTTTTAAAGGCCATCAAGTAGTGTGAGCAATTTTCATGAGTACATAAAGCCATTAAAAAAATACACACACAAACAAGTACATAGTAAATGAGAAGGACAAGAGAAAAGTATCAGAAATAAAATCAGAAACATTTTGTTAGTCCTTTTTTTGTCAAAAAAAATAATAATAATCATAATGAGACAAATTGTCAAATTAAAATTCTCAAGACATGAACGAAAACCAAACAAATACATTTTAAAGAATATTTAACAATTAAATTATTAATAATAGTAATAATAATAATAGTAATGGGTAATAATAACAATAATAATATTAAACAAAAGGAAAACAACACAGTTTTGGAAAATTTCTACAGCACGAAATTGATTGAAAACAATAATGATAATAATAATAATCATAATAAAGATTAAGAATTTCAAATACCACTTTTCCAATTTAGCATAATAATAATAATAATCATTAATCTGTAAATATTGTTTTGATTTTAATGATATAAAGATAACAAGTTACCAACCAGATAGTACATTATACACATAAATGTACATAATTATGGTATTTTAAAAAAATGACAACAATAATTAAAGCGTGGAGCATTTAAATCTATGATGTACTGTGGATATAAAATAATCAGATCAATGTATTGATTATTTCCTACTGAAAGAGTACATTACAGATTAAGATGTATTAACTTTTAACTATTTCTCTTACATTTTTTTCTATAATGATTGTGTACATTAAAAAGTTTACAGTCATACGTGATCCATGTCAATATTATTACCGCTTAAAAACCAATTGTGAGTTGATAGAGAAGAATTTAATTTTGAAGTTGAAGATGATAACAGACTACTCAATGTGTCTACCATATCTGTATTTGAGCTAGTTACAGCATTTGTAGTTGGAGAATATGCAGTCACACCTGAACACGGTACACTGGAATGAGTTGTATTAGCCGAATAGATTTGGGATGTGGGCTTAGATGAATTTAAAATTACGGACCAAGAAGGATTAAGATATGAAGATGAGTAAGGAATGGTTGGTGTATTTTCACTAATTTGCCGGAGCTGTTTATCAAAACAATTAGATTTTGTAGATGAGTAAGATGACGATGAATCAGAAGATGTTTTGCTGGAACTACCTGAACGCCAATAATGTAAATGAACAGGAAGATCCATATTTTGAAGTCGGGAATATGAAGAGGATACTTCAGTTGAACAAGGAGATTTATCATTGACAGCTGTTGTGACAGGTTTAGTAACGGACATAACAGATGCCATATGACTTGCAGTTGAACAAGTACGTAAGTTACTAACATTTACAGCTGAAATGAGCTGTTTCCCGTCGTTCGATGACAAAGAATCAGAGCGTGAATAATAACCAGAGCTAGAATCAGACTCATTGGAATGAAGACGCGGTATAATTTCAGGGCACGATGTTTGTTGACATGATAGTCTACTATCTGGAGGAAATGTCTGAATGTTTAAATCCACTCGTTCATTAATTTTTCTATTTGGAATAGACCATGCTGTTTCAAGTTGAGGAGATATACTAGACACAGGAGATTGAGAAAATTCACCAATCGAAACCTCATCTCTAAGAAAGTCATGGAAAGCATAACCAATACTTGATCCTACTAATTCAGTGGTACCTGAAGGGATATGAAAATGAAGGCTTGAGCGACTATCCATACCGGAAGAACAATAATTTGAATCTAAAATTGTTTGTGAGTGGTCAATATGATTAGTTTGTTTATTTTTATGCTTGTCATCAATACTTATGGAAGGATTTGTAAAGGAACAAGAATGTGGAAAACCAGATATTATTTGACTTGATAGACTTGAACTTTGCACTTCTACAGAATGTAAATCAGATAAATTTGAAATATTTGGAGTAGCGTCCGAGTTTGACCCCTTCTCCAAGGCATCTAAGGCTATTTGAGAAGCTAGTGGAATTTTAGCACCAGTTTGAGGACGATGGGCTTGCATCCATGGATGTTGAAGGATTTCTAGCAAAGATGGACGTTTAGACGGATCCATATTTAAACAACTCCTAAAAAATTTTAATAAGTATATATACATACATAATAATCGAATCCATGTATAATAAGTGAACAAATAGTATCAATGAAGAAAATAAAAGTAACATGAAGATTTTTCAGAAACATAATTATCATAATGAATTTGTTGTAATAGTAAACACTGAATTGTAACAAAACTATATCCATGCAGTAAGCCAAGTAATCTGTCATCCATTGCGTCACAACACTAAAAAAGTCACTAATAAGGGATAATTTAAAAAGCTTGGAAAGTATAGATTATGTCAAAATATTTTAAATAATTTGGTGAATGGTCTTACAAAAAATTATCCAGCCTACATGCATAAGGTTAGACTGTATAAATAAACTTCGTAAAGTGTAATTTAAAGTTTATTCAAAAGGCAATGATGTATTTATATTGTTACATAGCACATCAATCTAATTATAACACTAGATACCATTTGGAATCATACTACTATATTTTAGAGGATAAATTGGGAAGTTTAAAGTAAATTTGTTACTAGTATATGTGAGTGGAAATGTATACGCGATTACAACGTCCGAAATTTAGGTATTTAAATTGACTCTGAGAGATTTGATTTCGTACACTTTATCTAGTATGTAATTTTAATCAGTTTCTTGGAACAGAAATGGTTGTTATTAAATGCTGCTTCAAAAATGATGTAAATTTCATTCAGTAGATGTAATCGACTGATTACCATCTCCCAATCGCTAAGATCCATTTATCTGTACTTTTTTGATTAGCGACGACTAATTTAAGTTTTTTATCATCAGTTATGATAGATTTAGACTACATAATATTGACTATTACAAATAACAAAAGCAGAAAACTACAAATATGTACGCTAGTCACGCATAAATCTCTCATGCAAATGTCATAGCTGGTAATTTTTGTAAAACTTTTCATCAAATATTTGGATTAGTCAAATAAACTTTTTGAATAACTAGTCAAAAGATTCGAATTAAATTTCTACCATTTCTGGGAAATTTATTGTTGAAAAAAACTAGTCAGTCAGTCACAACGCAGAACCTGGTATGTATATACGTCAATCCAAGTTGTCATATCCCATTATCCAAGATAAATGAACAAGTCCGAGAATAGTAGAGGTAGTAACAGCATCAGTGGTAATAGGAAAGATTAGGCATCGAAGAAATTATTCGGGTAAAAGGAATTAAAACTTGACTTACGCAATAAGATGTTTTGCTGCTTCACTTATATTGTCTCTACGATATCGCAATTTCCCTCCGATAATACTTTTATCATTAACAAAAGGGATATCACCACATAACATATCATAGAGTAGTACACCTAAAGACCATACTTCAGCTTGTTTGCCATGATATCGATTATTTAAAATCCATTCAGGTGGACTATAAACACGAGTGCCTAATATAAAATAACATGGAATGCAACGAAAGATGAGAATATTGAGTACATGGGAAACAGTATTCATATAACGTGAAATATTTAAATCTTCTACTTTAACTCATATTGTATCGTTTTAATCTTCCCATTGACGTTTAGGACTGCTATTTGTCAATCGCTTATAAGGTGAAATTTAATTCATTTTGTATTGGTTGTTCGAATCTTGCCATAGACGTTTAGGACTGCCAAGGATCAGTCTCAAACAGGACGAAATGCGCGTCCTGGATTCCACTGCTAGCCACCATCCATCTATGCTTATAACGACTATTTTAATGTTTACATTACCACAATTATAGATGACTACTTGCTTACCAAGTATAGGTTTATACATGTAGCTAATAATCACATTCGCAATGAGTATCAATTAGTACTATCAGGCTCTGTATCCCGAAATAGATGAAAGGAATTCCTAACTTGAGATTTAATTGTTGAAAAAACAAACATTTAGACAACTAACCCATTACTTTCATGCTTAAAAAATAAAGTTGAACATGAAAGAGATAAATAACCAAATAAAATAAGCGCATGATCTTAGATAAATATGTATCAGTATAAGTTGCTGTACATTATATCAACACATCAAAATGAAATTAACAAAAGAAAATCCAAATAGTGAAAACATAAAAAGTAACAGTAGTATCAAACCAAAATATAAATAAAAATGAAAATAGAGGAAACCGTACAATCAAGAGAATAATGTATCCACAACTTAGAAATAAAAGTACTTGCGCCATTGAGACTTGCTTAAAACATGTGATCTGATCTATAACTATATATTTTACGGTTATTTTACAGGTCACACAATCGAAAGGAAACTACATAAACAACTCAGACTAACAATTAATAACTTTATAAACTAGTATTGTACTTTAATCTGATTAACTATAGTTAGTTCTTTCTTTTTCCAATCAATCGTAATTCATAACACACGTTAAAGGCAATAAGTAACAGTAAAATATTCTTTCTCATTGTACGCTTATTTACTTGAAATTCAAGTAAATTTCCATGCCTGAAGAAAGTCATCAGGAATCAGAAATTTGGTCGACTATAACTAGTTTACAGGTTCTACATCAAGTTGATTGACTATAAGTCATTATAAAGATCAATTAAGAAAATGTGATCAGAAAAGATAAATAACGTAACTTGTTAGATTAACTAATGCAGCATCCTTGATGATTCTTCATAAAACATCATCGTCAACAAGGATTCAAACACTAATTATAAAAAAACGTGGTACATATATGTTTTCTAATTACAGGACATTGGACTTATCTAAATATATTATTAAAATAGTAAATGAATCAAGAAATGTGATATTCTCATCAGTCAGTCAATGTAGGAGGAATAATAGGAATTGAAGAGGGAGGTTGATTATGAATACAGTGGTTTTGAGTATTGTTAGAGGTATTCTCATCAACATCTACTGATTTGTAAAACGAAAGTTGAAAACTTTTCATCCACTAAAAAGGCTAGATTCCCTCTCCCAACAAATAAACGTGAAATGAAGTTAACTTGTAAACAATTTTTTTGTTTTTACTCCCATTTAGGCTTACCATCAAAATCTGTATACAAACGTGACTCCAAGAATGCACCAGAACCGAAATCAATAAGTACCAATTCATTTGTTGTACGATTAATCAGAATATTTTCATCTTTAATATCTCGATGTAATACACCAACTTTATGACATGATAATAATATACCAGTTAATTGGTGAAAATAAAAAGCAGCTTCACTTTCTGATAACATTCCACGTTCACCAATATAATCAAACATATCACACGTTGTACTAGAGACTTGATCCATAACAATTGCCCAAGATTGACCAAAATTAAAGGCATCTAATAAATTAACTATTCCAGGTAAACCTTGACACATAACTAGAAGTACAACTTCAATTGGCATTAATTGGTTGTCCAACTAAACAAATATTATGACAAAAAGAAAATAAGTGAATTAACAAGATAATTTTAAAAAATGAATTATAGTAATAAGAGTAACTGAATTTTTTACTATAGCCATAATTGAGATACATACAACCTAATTATCAGACATATGGTCTTGTGACCCAGCACATGGACACGAGTAGTTCACATACATGAATAAACATAACGGTGAACTATCAGTGATAGTTAATGACTGATTATGGTGGGAGAACAGCAAAACTTCACAAACTAACCAAGTAGTTAACACTACATATATATATATATATATATATATATATATATATATATATATATATATATACAGATAAGACAACAAAGAATTTAAATATTCAGAGATTGAGACAAAACAATACTACAACTACAACTCTGAGTAGTCTGGATTTTAGTCATACTACTTCGAATCAGACAAAGCTTACAGAGAACAATAGTAAATTATTCACTGATAATTATGGGAACAGGGATAAAATATTTTTGTAGTTTTAGCACCACCCATGGTACTTGCAAAATGGATAAATAATAAACCAAATTATATACTGGATAAAATTAGAAAATGAATATGAAAAGTCTAAAAGATCAATGCGCCAAAATATTTTAATAAAAATTGCTAGATATCATGTATAAAATAATTCAACTCCTATGTTAACAAGTCTCAAAAATGATAAACAGCAAAATATGATTTATTTAAAAACAATTGATTTTCTTCCTGACGAGACTGAGAACTTGGATTTATGTACTCAGAAGTATAAAGTCAAATGCTTTTATTTACAACCCATTGGAGAAATTTTAGAACTCCTAAAGGCTGAATTTCACGTACATTGGTATCCTGAACAAAATACTGTTAACCTACAAAATGTATAAGGATATATGATGGCATTAGTTATCATGTTACATAGTACAAAATCCCTCTAGTTCCGTATACGCACGACTCTGACTGAATGTAAATGAATTGGGGTATGCCTATCACGATGGAATAACAATTTGGGACTAACACAATCAATCTTAATTCATGACTGGTAAATGCATATTAATTTAATGAGTAAATTGCATCAACAAACAGCAGGTCCAAACAAACGAGATGTTCTTCACAAAAAGTAATCGAGCAACCTAGAAATTGAAAATAAGCCAAAAAATACTACGATTAAGGAGTGAAAATCAAACAACTCATGGGGATATTTAGTAAGCAGCATACTTCAAACTACAAGTTGACCGCAACAAATTTTAACCAGGAAACACAGTTTGTACGTTCCTGAAGCTTAATTTTAGGCAGAAGGATAACATTATTCCCAATACAGAAATAAGCGTACAAGCCAAACACACGAATCAGTACTCTATCATACAAGTGGAATAAGAAACCAAAAGTTTACCAATAAATGAATCAAATCCAGTTTTATATACCTGACTTTGAGATATACTATTTGTATGAGAGCCAGTGAATATATCCCATTACGTACTGCAGTTCTTTCACAAATATTACATAATTATTATGACTACATTGGCGGTTGACCCCATATATATCAACCATAAATGTGGATCTATCAGCATTATAATGATGCACCAATGTGTAGCACATCAAAATAAGGACGGATCGATGTGAATATTAATATAAAAGGATTTAAACGAAATTACTACTAACTCAAGCAATTTAAAAACAGGTGGTTAAGGAAAGAGAAAAAATCTAGTAAGACATTTCGACCAGGTGAAGCAGGATCCATTTACTGTATTAAGCATATTTACTTACCAAACACCAGCATGGAACTTTATCTGATCGGACTTCTTTCACTACAACTTCTTTATTGTCAGATGTACGCCTAGCATGATGAACATGACCAAATCCACCCGATCCAAAACGTTCACCAAGTGTATAACGTCGGAGGAATTCGTAATAACCTTCGTAAACCTCAACCTCTGTATATAATAAGAAACCAGGAATCGAAATTTATTACGACAATGCCAATAAACCGATTTTGAAAGATTAAGTATGACTATTAGCTACCGTATAAACTACCCACAACTCAATTTGATTAACAGGTTTTGACTAGATTAATGCAATTAGTCAAGTACCAATGACGTTTCATCATGGTGAATTACTATCGTACTTTTGATGGATGATTAAAAATAGGGATGTACCTTACGCTACGTCAGTACCAAGAAAACAGATGAAAATATTAATTGTAGGGATCTATGCACCAACGTTTATTAAGAAAAAAGCGGTGTACATAGGTCGAAAGAATCTTTTTATCTGACAAGAGTATGTGAACAGACTACCAACCGAAAGGAATGACTAAAATTCAACCTCAACTTAAACGTATTCAACATATCTAGACAAATGTCAGGTAGTGCTAATTAATTGTTGACCACACACACAAATGGCCAGCAACTGACAACAAAACCCAATCTAACAAAGTGGACGAAATGACATCAAGCTTTGGCGTATTCTTTAAGTAGAATAGAATTGTTGAAAGTGTTGTAGTGACAGACATTTTGTAGAATTGTGTAACAGACAAGTTGATGTGGGGTGAAGAAAGAAATTAAGATCCAATTGAATTCAACTCAATACGAATTATTGTAATTGGCTTCATGATTCACATGTAGCTATTAGTACTACAGCACTGCCTAAACCAGGCGAAATAAAATAAAATTTCCCCTTCATGTTTAGTCCAAAAAACCTTTGTTTTGTATGGAGATATCGTAAATTAAACGAAATATCAATGAGAATGGAGTTATTAATTAAACACTTACGCAAACCGAGGTCTTGTGAGCTTCGTCTTACGAGTCTTCCGCTTGCATAAGGGTTATTTGTGTTCTGCAGAGCTGTATGCGCCATTGCATAGGTAATCCAAAAATTAATTAGATCCTGTTAGGCAACAAGTACGTAGACAGTCCATATAAAAATTAGTGCAAAGTCAAATTAGACTAAGCTACTATAGTTCTAAGGTTTCCAACACAATTGTGAAGTTAGTAAGAACTAATCGAAAACGGGAACCGTATAATTCAAATTCGCATAAACCTAATCTTAGTATGAAATGGCGCAGTATGAACTATCACCTAAACGCCGTTAACTTGAGATTAACAAAATCCAATGGCCAATAAAATAGCAATGAATGCTTATTTAATATTTCATTGGTTCATTTATATGTTGCCTTGACCTGTCCCTGCCTAATTGTAGAATGAACCAATCAATTTTCAGAATGGCTCTCATTGGGCTGTCTATTCTAGATATTCTAATGACTATCTGTACTCCCACCATTTTTGTTATGTACATACACTGTCCTCAATTCATATGTTCTTCAGGTCAACCATCTAAGCAACCCTTCGATCACTTGATATTTTCTTCACGTGTTTTTTGTACATGTGCGTCTGAAGCAGATGACAAACACTGGTATTTATTTTTGGACACCATGGTATTTAAAACAGGTCAGGAAAATTAAACCAAAGTGAATCATCATGAGATGGTTTTTAACGATACTTTTGTAGTGTTTGTAAAATAGAATTAAGCCTTACGTGGAAATTTCGTTGAATAATCCACAGCATCTTCGATTAGCTAGCTTTAAGACGTTTCTTTTAAACGAATCTCGTACATTTATCCAGAATAATAAAAGGGAACTATTACATGAACTGCTACGTGTAAAAAATTATCTATACAGATTGTACACCTTCAGAAAATGATATCGTTGAAAAGAGACTTTTCTTAGCTGAAATGTTTTCGTTCTTTTTAAATAAAAACTCGTAAGCTAAGTAAGAATATTCTGAATGGACGTTCAGGTCCTTGCAACATGCCTACTCAGGAATCTATGGCAAGTGAATGTGTTAATATTTTCATGATGAAATTTATTAAGACGACGTCATTATTGTTGAAATGAATTTTTCTGGTTAAATTTTTTAGCACGGTTATGGTGTTGGTAACCTCATTCCATACCCCCTCCCTTATCCATGTATAGGAACGATAGTAACCCAGGAAGGACTCCAGCTGTAGACATACCACAAACATCATCATCTGCGCAAGAACTTCTAGATCCATTTGGAGGTTACCACAGTTATTTTTGATTTCATAGATAAATACTCATTTATATCAAATACTCAGGATTCAATAAACCCGTTTAATTACATATTGACAACACAACTTTTACATAAATGTATATATCGTCGAAAAATGCTTGACTTCATCCTGAAACCAATTTAAAACAGAGTACCAAAATGTTTGGTAAAAGTATATATATATATTATTTGAACACATAAATATTGGTACAGGGGGGCACCAAATATATATGCGCCACACAAAACAATGATAATTTGAAGAGAAGGAGAATATATATATATATATATATATATATATATATATATATATATAAAGTAATGAACGTGGGGAATTATAAAAAAAAAAGAGGGAGAGAACAATGATGGGGAAAACGGAAAGGTACAATCAGAAGAAATCTTTCAGTTAAGGAAGATACAACCACTTTTTAGGAAGAAAGTAAAAGAAGGTTACAGCAGGATCGCCACTGGCTTCTATTCTGAGCCATATCTGATAACGTCTCTAG